TATAAACGCAGGTCATCTGTCATGTAGACTGCAGGGACAGGACAATAACAGACAATAAACGAGACGGTAGAATTCAAATTAATCTGATTCTATTTTTAGCTGCAACGACCGGACTGCTACTTTATCTGAATATTCATCTTTTCATCAACCTCTTTGTACATAGACATGAACTTACACACACACACACACACATTCATGTCACCATTTACAGCACGCTTTGGCAAACAGCAGCCATTAGCTGACAGCGGATGACTCTGCCTCCTAGAACCTAAATCAATTATCCTATCTCTGCTGGGGCCTGATGGTTTCAGAGGGTATTACTGTTTCACCCAGACCAGCAAGCAGGCTGTCGCACTCGCTACAGCATCTGGTTGGATTCGGCCCAAACTTGAAAGGAATTGTTTGGGCTAGTAGTGAATGGAGTGTAAAACAATGGAGCCAACTGGGCAGGGATGGTATTTGTGCTTCATTTCAGGCCCTCATTAAAGTAAAATCTGTAAAAATAGCAGTGCATGTTTTTTTTGTCTCTCTCGCTCTCTCTTTTGTGATCCTGAGCTGTTGTAGAAACAGATGATAAATCTCTCTGTAGAGGTCTGAACATACTGTATACCTCTCATATTAGATCTTCAATTTCAAGGCCAGATGTACGGATAATATATTTTACCCAAACATCATCCAGATCATTTTAGGCAAAAACTTGTTCTCAAATGATAAATCTTCCCCTCACATTTATTCATTCCAGATCTCATCAACTTATTGCTCTGTAAGACCAGACCATTTGGAGATAAGACTGGGCCTGGACCTGTTTGATAGATGGCCAAACAATTTAATCCGTTTACCCATCAAACATGCTAATGCACGTGGGTGTTTATGTGCAGAAAATACTACACACCAGAATCATATTACAGGATAGCAGCTTAAAACAAGATCCATTCGGTGCTCTCCACAACAATCTTATAGCCAGCTGACCAAAAGGTGAATCCAATAATACTCCACTGAGCACTCTTAACAAACACTTACCAGTCTCTTTAGATGCAATGAAGCGTTACTGGTAGAAGTCATGCTTCCTGAGCTGTGTGATGCATCATCCTGCCGCAACTAAAGTTATTGTGATGCATGTTCTGTGTACAAGATAAGAACACAATCAGTGGTCCAAACAGAAACAGTTCACTCCTGAATTCATAAAAATGGAAAAAGAACCTCAAACCTCAAACCTGAAAAAACTGTTTACCGACTGTARGCTCATGTTCAAACACTGAATTTTAAAAAAAGGCAATAACCATGTGCGATGAAGCACTACGTAAAAAAAAAAAATCACATTTGCCTAAATGGGTCGGCTAGAATATTATCTTGTCTTGGTTGTCAAACAGCACTTTTACATTTCTTATGTACGGTAGCCAGCTAAATGCTAAGATAAATAAAAACAGTACTAGTCTAGCAGAGACTAAAGAAATACAATTTTGTTGTGTTAATTTAAGGAAGATTTGAACAAGTGACCTCTACATCCAAGTTCCAGTTGTTAACAGTACATTATTTGAGCAGTTCCTCAAATAATCAGAATTCCCATTTAGATGACCAGCATTCATCCCAGAATTTTTAAATCAAACTCTCTGGTGTGAAAAACGAACATGTGGACCACTTTAAGTAGATATTTTGGATGTTTTGGGCATCTTTTTACCATAAATAGCACTGAAACCATTCAGCATGTGAAGCTGAACAGGTAAAAGTGGAATAGGTTGGAGTCTTTGATTATAGAGCAATAATTCATACTCCTGAACTTCCGACTGTTTTCCAGTGATTCCCTTCAACGATCCTGAAGCTCTGCAAAATTCAGCCTTGCTTTTTATTATTGGTGTCCCAAAATGGGCCAAACACCAGCTTTTATACAAGTACTTGTACTCATCAGAAGTGCCCGATACTCGAAACTGATACCAGTATCAACACAGGGTTGATGGTATCAGTACTCCATTGAATGTGTTGCAGTTTACATTTCAAGTGAAAACATTTTGAAGTTCCATGTTGAAGAAAATTAAACAAGTTAAAAGAAAAAAAATTAAATTTTGCACCATAATATATTACGCTTTATATTTTATTTGACAGCGTCAGGAGGACTGTAGGCCTATAAGGAACGAGAGCTGTGTTTTTAAAATCATTGTGTAATGTTTAGGTTCTAACTCTGTGTGTACTCTGTACACACATGCTCTGTATCAGTATATTTGGTATACTCATACTTCAGTTTGAGAAAAACTGATATCAGGACACCTCTAGTTTTTAGGTTTATTACTTTGATCTCATCACTAAAATTTGAATAAATATAAAAATATATTGCCATGACTTTTATTAAATTTAGTCAAAAACCTTATTAGGTGATGCCTAAAATATAAAGTAGTGTCAAAAGACTGTGAGCTTTTTATTTTGTTTAAAATATGATTGCTGAAACAATCAGTACATACTGTATTGTTTCAATTCTCAGATTCACTGTGGTGTTTTCARGCTCATGACTCCTCTTCACTCCACATCTTGCTTCATCTCTGTAGTTTCTGCTGTTGGGATGAAACACGGATGAGTTTGAATGCTGTGTTTACAAATACAACATTTGTGGTAAACCAGGTTCTACTGAAATCATTCAGTAACTGTAGCAGCAACTGACTGTGAGGAAACTTTGACGGGAAAATAGGGAGAGAAAAAAAAAACTGGGAACTTTTTCAGCACAACCGTGAAAGCAAAGAAGTCAGAAAAACTAACTCCCTGTGGGTAAACTCWGCAGAAGATAAAACATCTCACCAGTATGTTTATTCCCTAATCCCTGCGCTGAGAATACAATCTAAATATTTCAATACTAAATCCCATAATGACATAAATGTAATGATGCTACTAAAATGCTCAAATAAAAGCTCAATATAAATTTATAAACAAGCTTAATTTGTGAACCAGAGTGTTTAGAATTTTTGCACTAAAGCACAAAGACTGTTTTCATATATTGCTTAATAAAGTGTCATTATGTCCATTTGCCACTGCACAATAACCTCTCTCCACTGCTCAGATGTCAGGTTTGTTAATGAAGAGGATTTTCACAGTTTTATCAGGAGCAAAAATACTCTCTTGACACCCGTGTTGCACTGGCAGAAGGATGCACTAAATGTGAAAAGGGAAGCATTTTAATAACACTGGCAAAACAGAACTGTTTGTTTTAGTTTGCAGCTTCCCATCATGTCGTAAAAGCTGCTGATGTGTGGAATATAAAATAGACACACAATAAAACCTTATACAGTAATTAAAAATTGTTCTGTTTTTTTAACGCACTTCAAATGAAAACATTTCCTGTTCCTTTAAATTTTGAAGAACTTTATTGTAATTTTAGCCAATAATTATTTGAAGTGTGAGTGATCAGAGATCATGGTCTTATTTTTAATAGGACATTAAAATAACAATATTTAAAGGGGAAATACTGTATTATGTATTTCCCAGGCATATATTGAAATTCTATACCATAGTAAAGTAACTATGTCACCTTCATTTGTTATTAAAACACTGTTTCTATGTTTAAATCTAAATAAACTTGACCTTATCATTTCCGTTTCTAAACACCTTGAAATTGGCCTCTGTCTCTTTAAGAACCTCCTTCTGCTTCTGTCCCACCCATTTCAGCGCATCATCATAACCGCATCTCTGCTGTTTACAACCTGAAGCGTCATAGCATGCTTTGTTGTAATGATAACTAAAAAAGCAGCAACATTATACAAGATCGGTTTTGGAAAATTGCATCTCAGGATACATATGAACCTTAGTGTCGGACAGGAAAGTACTTTTTCTAAAGAACCAGAGCGATTACAGAGACGTTTCAGCTGGTAAGATTAWTTCAGTCGCTCACACCACAAACACACACACACTGATCGTGATAAGTTACAAATCTTAACACGTAGACCAAACAATGATGTGAACAAAACAATGTGAGTTGTTTTTCAGCTTACTTGTGCAGGTGACAATGGTGTTTACTCCAAAAAATGACTGAAATGAGAAGCCATTAGTATTGGAGCTACAGATGCAGTTTCACCTGTGTTCGTCGTTTCCTTTGTTCCTGCCGACAGGAGGGGGTGATGCGGAAGCTCGGTGTAGTTTCCTTGGCTGCACTGAGAAGTAGTATTGGAAGGTCAGCAAACATGGTTTTCACCTGYTGTTTGCTAGTTGTTGCTGCGGGTGCTCTGTGATGAGGAAGCTCAGCTTGGAGACACAGTCCAGAGGAGGAGCTGGTTCCAAAAGGCGGTTCTAGTCCCAACCAGTCGTTTTTGCGCCCCTGCCTGGCTGTCACAGGACACTACAGGATTTCTCAAACACACATGAATGAGTCAAAGCAAGACTCTGAGCATGTTTTTGATGAGAGGACAACATTACTACATGATATAAAACTCAAAAAAGTTGATTTTACATGATATTGCCCCTTTAAGGATAGAAAGCTGGTGAATGAGAAGCTTTTTAGGGGATTAGACAATTATTTTCATTTTCTTTTGCTTTATTTTGAAGATCAGCTTGTCCCCATGTGATAATATGGCAAGGAACCTAAGTGATCAAATTCACCTTATATCTTTACCATTGTTCCAGTTTCACAGTAAACTGAGTTACAAGTTCTTTTTTCTGTTGTAGAAACATTATTACCACATTTACAAATTTCATCAGCATATTTGAATTTGTSTGAGGTCTTTGAGTAAGTAGATGGAAAAATTTGGCCAAGAAAACAGTAATGAGGTTTAAAAAAATTATTTTGCTTCTGGATCTTTGTTCCTTAAAAACAAATACACCAATTTGAACATGTGTGGGTGTTCATGACTATTAAACTCATAGCTTTGCAGATCAGAGTTTAGAGGTGTATTTATTACCCTAAATGTCAAGTAGTTTGCTTGTTTATGTGTGAATTCATGTACAACATAAGTGCTGACTGTTATGTTTGAGGAATAACTAATTTCTTTCCTCTTTTTTTCCTCTGTCTTATTTGTTTCACACAGGACATAAAATGCTTCGGTGGACACTGGATTAAAGTCTGACTAAGCCTRGTAATCCCCGTGGACTTTACAAGTGAAACACACAATCAATGCTTAGAAGAGGACCAGTTACGAAAAATACATTTAGCCCAGAGAACCTGAAAAAAATGTCTTTGCTGACAATCGCATTTAAAAGAACCTTGTGCTTAATTGCCAAAGAAAATGTACATATTTAGATAAATGTAAATATCATGAAAAAAAGACAGAAACAAATCACCTTCCAACAGGCACCTCCACGCTTTGTGAAACACGAGATGGCCTGCATTTCTGGAGCTGAACATAAACTAGGATATGTCTCTCCTGTCACCCCACCAATGAAACTAGTTGATACTGGAGAAGTGAAATGGTTRGATTAGTCATTGACTGAAGTTGGCTAATCTCCGAGGACAAGAATCATGGACAACATCACTGGTAACAACACTTCGTCTCCACTTTGGAGTGAGAGGACACTTCTCAGCCTTCAGATCTCCCTGTATGTTCTGTTAGCTGTCGTCACTCTGGCTACTGCTCTATCAAATGCCTTCGTCATCGCCACCATCTTCCTGACCAGGAAGCTCCACACYCCTGCCAACTTCCTGATAGGATCCCTGGCCATCACAGACCTGCTGGTGTCCATTRTAGTGATGCCAATAAGCATCGTCTACACCGTAACCAAAACCTGGTCGCTGGGGCAGATTGTTTGTGACATCTGGCTCTCGTCMGACATCACCTTCTGCACTGCCTCCATTCTGCACCTGTGCGTCATCGCGTTGGACCGCTACTGGGCCATCACAGATGCGTTGGAGTACTCAAAACACCGCACCATGCGCCGAGCGGGGATGATGGTCGGGGTGGTATGGGTGATCTCGATTTCTATTTCTCTGCCTCCACTTTTCTGGCGGCAGGCCCAAGCGCAGGGGGAGCTGAAAGAGTGTGTTGTGAATACAGAAAAGATCTCTTACACCCTTTATTCCACCTTCGGCGCCTTCTACGTTCCCACAGTGCTTCTCATCATCCTCTACGGACGGATTTACGTCGCAGCCCGATCCCGCATTTTTAAGACCCCGTCGTCGGGGAAGAGATTCACCACAGCGCAGCTCATCCAGACCTCAGCGGGCTCCTCTCTCTGTTCTCTTAATTCTGCCTCCCACCAGGATGCACACCTACACTCTGCCAATGCAGGAGGTGGAGGAGGAGGAGMAGGAGGAGGCGGCTCGCCTGTGTTCATGAATAGTGTGAAAGTTAAGCTGGCAGACAGCGTGCTGGAGAGGAAACGTTTGTGTGCCGCACGGGAGAGGAAAGCCACCAAGACTTTGGGCATCATCCTGGGTGCATTCATCGTCTGCTGGCTCCCGTTRTTTGTCTGCACACTCGTCAACGCGATATGCACAACGTGCTGGTTTAGTTCTGTGCTGTTTGATCTCTTCACCTGGCTGGGATACCTAAACTCGCTTATTAATCCCATCATCTACACGGCGTTCAATGATGATTTCAAACAGGCTTTCCAAAAGCTCATCAAATGCAGACCAAGTTTCTGAAAAGAACAACTGGCATGTGGATTTTGCACAAATAGGAGATGATAGAAGTWATAAACAATTCAAATTTTCATCTTCTAAACACATGTTCAGTGCAGTGTGGCAAAAATACTGTAGTTGGATGCCTATGACTTATCCATCACGAAGACTTGAGCATGCATTTCTTAAAAAATAAAAAAAGACATTTCATGCCACTTGGAAAACACAATTCAAAGGACAAAAACCAAAAGTGTTAAAGTCCATTTCAAGGCACAGCAACCGTTTCTGTTGTTTTTTTTGGACAGAAATAATTGTAAACATGTGGGGACAGAAATCTCAGAGTGACTGCATGTAATCCTGCAGAAAAGCAAAGCCATGAAATATCTGTTGTCTCAATCTGTGTGTTACACTTTTCTGATTCTTCCATATGCTTCCTTGGTGCAGTTAAACATTTAAGTCCACCAACTCGAGACACACAATTACACACAATAGAGATGTGTGCAAACCTTGTTACTCGAATATTTGGAGAAGGGAGAGTTGTCTTCATGCTGCGCTCCAGTGAAGCATATCTGCCATTTCTGAGGGCTGAACGGGAACAGCATTTTCAGACTGAGTTTTAAGCAACACAGAATGTTGTAGCAACAAAACTTCTGCCTAAAATCCTATCAAAACAAAACAATACACAGTGGCAAGATAATGATAAATAGCAGGTTTCACTTCTATTCATTTAAAGACATTTAATATGCTTCTTACCTTAAAGCTTAAATGTGACCCATCACTTCTAACTGAGGATTAYATCTCAAGGTAACGTGGTGAGATAAAAGATACTTTGGTTGAAAAGATTTTCAATAATTGGAGTTTGTCAAAATATGATAAATAAATACCTTTTCCCTTGAAGAAAATGTCTGAAATATAATTCAAAAAAGGTTTTGAATGGCTTTTTGAGCAGTACCAACAGTGAACAATGATTTGGAACTAAAACCCCTAAATTTTTGCCTCTTTTCCTGCTTTTTAGCAAAGCTATGTTCACTACCAGCCGTGACATCTGGATATCCAAAGAAGGTTTGAGGTTTCCTTCTTCAAATGACATCAAGGAATCCTCATTAGAATGTGCTAAAAATAGGAAACTGTAAAATGGCCTCTTTGATTACATGACAAATCAAACCTCTGGAACCACTCAAGAGGACTTTTTGCACTGCAAGGCCCAGGCTGGCCTGGCTTCAAACCAGAGTTTGGCGTGTTTGCATTAGCCAATAAAGCCCACCRCGATTTCTGGAAAATAGTCTGCTTGGCCTGATTTGATGTCAGCTACTGCTGCTCYTTGTTTGGTTCACTGCCCTGAGGGTTACGTCACACAGATGAGAGTATCTTTATCTGAATCGTTTACAGCAACTATAATGTTTAACTACACAACAAAGCGAGCTACCAAAAAACAACAAGCTAACAGCTTCCATTAGCCTATCATTCTCTGTCGTCAGCCCTATCATCTTTAGCGTCAGATGGTTCAAGTATTGCATTCTGTACTTTTCCTTTGAATTTGTTGTAGTACTCTGATATTGTTGRGTCACAAATAAAACAAAATAAAATTTGTGTGTGTTTAGTAACGTGTGCTCACATCGAGGCAACACTGCTCAGTGTAAACACAAACAGGGACTGGGCGGGCCTTACAAGGCAAAAATGGCAAAAATTTCAGGATGGTCAAAATGTAGCTAAAAAAGCAGGAATCAGAAAATGTGCTTGTTGTGTTAGTTAGTTTAACCATGTACTGTATGACTTAACTCCTAATTTGATGTGATGGGTCACATTTAGAAAAAGAAAAAGTAAAATGTTTTTGACAGATGCAACAGACTTGCAAGAATTCACACTGATGATAAACATTAAAAAAATATACAGTGTCTTTGAGAGCCTTAAAAGTGAAGCTTTGATGGAATGTACTGTAATTGACTCACTAGAGATTTCATTAAGGGTGAAAAGATATTTGTTAAAGCGTGTCTAAAATGTTCTTTTTTATTATGATTATTTTTTGTGTAACAGGATTGAAGGGACTGGACAACACTACATTTAAATAAAAAATAAGAAAATGAAGATCATTATCTTTGTGTTTGATTGTTTGTCTTTGCCATACAAATTTTGTGATTCTGCAGCTGCACTTTTATTCTTTGTTGCTTTGGAAATGATGCTGAAAAAGCCTGGCAGAGTCAGAACATTTAGGCTGAACCAGCAGCTTAACCCTTTTAAAGTACATTAAATATTTATGTTATTTATGTGTTTATATTTTCTTAGACATCTACAGCTGAACCATTGCCCCACTGTGTTGCAGATTAGATTTATTGGTTTGACTTTAACAAATACATCTTACATCCAGGCACATAAACGTGAACTACACTAAAGCCGCAACAAAAAAGTTTTTGCCTTGCTGGGAGTGGAGTAACTTTGCTCAGCAGAACACTCAACACTAATTAGGGAAGACAAAAAACAGATAAAGCTCATTCATATTTTCTCTCTAACACACCCGGTATGCTTTAAATAGATAATCAACTGCCATGAGAGTTAATGGCTAATTCACATTGTCCAATTAATTACAATGAAAGTGCCAAGTGCTGTGAAAAGACATGAGCTCTCCAGATTTATATTTAGCTCACATTTTAATAGTCTCAGACAAATAAAACCTAATTTTCATTAAATATACCACCAGCTATTGATTTATGCCTCTGGGAGTCAGCAGAGCCTCCAAATGTTTCTTAATGAGAAAGTTTGTGGAGTGGAGTTTGAAACATAACAGAGGATAAAGTTTAATGCAAATATTAGATTTAAAAAAAAAGAAAGCAACTGAGTTGGTCTCAATAAAACTTAGATTAAAWTGTTTGTATGCTGTGTTCTTCCAGTCCAAGAAGAGTTAAAATTCATCCAGAGGCAGTCAAAACCAGTCCTGTCATTTTAGATTAGCTTGGATGGAAACTTGCTGCAGGTAACATTAGACTGTCTTGAGCACTGAAACCAAAAGGTCAGGATGCACTTAACCRCGTCAGATGGGAACTGTCACTTCCTGACTTTTGCAAGGAGTGGGTTGAAAAAAGGTGGGTGGGTGGGGGACCCCCTATGGGAAAACAACTTCAAACAATAATTAAAATAAGTGGGTGACACTTCTGTAAATAAATAAAATTACAGATTGCAAAACGGGCTGTTGGTGATGCCAAATGGTAACAAAGTACCACTTTCGTCTATAGATCACCTTACTTAGCCAGCCAAAAATCAACCAATAAATGTTCATTTAAATGTAGTGACATTATTAAAATAAAATTGTAGGATCTGTTTATGAGACACTTTTAAGGAATGTGGTAGTCAGCAAATGGAGATTTATCTAAAGTACAATATACAGAAATTGTCATTTTTACAAAACTGAGTCATTTGAAGATGTAATAATAAAAATGTTATCACACAATAGTTTTACAGTGGTCAAATCATCAATTGTCATAATGTAGCACAATTCATCTATGACAGTTTCCACACTAAGCTTTTACAGTYTCTTGATTACAACATGTCTAAAATGACACAAAGCTTCCCTTTTTATTTTACCTTAATACACAAATTACTGTATCACTGTCAACAATCAAGGCGTTTCCATTTTATTTATTTTATTCAAGTATAAAACTTTTCTAATGTGACTAGAATTTATTTGTTTTATTAACATAGTGAGGCCACGTTTTACTTAAATGGTTGAAATGTGTCATCAGAGGAGGGGAAGTGCTCAGCTATAATAAACAGATATGTTATTGTTCATTAAACACACAGTTTTTAATAGTAAAAACAAATAAAAGCAAAAACAGTTTAGACGCATTTATCATAAAATAAAACCAATGATTAAGCATTAATGAGGACCCCCGCCGCCCCCCATGTGTGTGTGGGAACTTATTCACAAAAGTTGTTTTATATCCAATAGCTTAAAAAATAACTTAAAATAATACTGAGCACAAAAAGCAAAAAGTAAGGAAATGTGTGTTTGGTTGATTATTGCTTTGTTGTAACAGGTGCCTACAATACATTTTATAGTGGGCACCTGATGGGCATGGGTGGCATCAGAAACTCAAAACAAG